TGTTACTTCCTGGAGTTGGTCACAGAAAACTCTTGTAATCTTGTATATTTTAAGCTTTAAGGGCCATTTTTCCCTTGCTCTCATTAGGTTAGCTCTTCCTTTGTCACTTGTAGCTGTTGGATGCTCGTGAAGCTATGCCAGATGAGACACAGACTAGGTCTCTGAAGCAGTGTTTTGTGGAGATATTCAGATAAATATGTTTTTTAAAGTTTCCTCAAGTTGGGAAGACTTTTTATTTCATAGATTGTTTACCCTTTAAAACCTTAATGATCTTGGCAATAGTCCACTAGAAATATTTTCCGTCCAAAAAAAGAAAGGAAAAAAAAATAGGATTGTCAAAAATGAATAAAATTAGTGGGAGCAAACAGAATAATGTAAAAGTACAGAAGGAATAGAAAGCCTGCAAAAGTAAGTGAAAGGATAAAGAGAAAAAATGAAAATAAATGTATAAGCTTTTATTTTTTCATTTAAAAAAATATTTGTTAACCAAGAGGGAGAGAATACACTGAAATCAGCAACTTCTGCAGTTTAGGTGATTTTTATAAAATGTATTTGCAACAAGTAAAGAAGTGTTTTTTTTCAAGACATGACACTATGAAGAAACTCTTGACAATATTGCAGTCTTATGGCAATATCTGTCTTATAGGCTGTTGTCTTACACAGTACACTATAGGAAGATATGCAGGTGATAGCAAATAGGAAGATAGATTTAGAAAATCAAGAGTTGATGTTTTTTAACAATAGATCTTTGTTAGAGATTTCCAAAACTTATGGTCACCTCTAGAACACATTGCACAGGATCCTATCCCGATAGCTTTTGAACGTCTCCAAGGATGGAGACTGCATAGTCTCTCTGGGCAACCTGTTCCAGGGCTCAGTCACCCTCACAGTAAAGAAATTTTTCCTCACGTTCAGATGGAATTGCCTGTGTTTCAGTTTGTCCCCGATGCCTCTCATCCTGTTAATGGGCACAACTGAGAAGAGCCTGGCCCCATCCTTTTGACACTATCCATTCAGATACTTGTACACATTGATAAGATCCCCCCCTCTATCTGCTCTTCTCCAGGCTGAACAGTCCCAGCTCTCTCATCCTTTCCTCATATGAGAGGTGCTCCAGTCCCTTCATCGTCTTAGTAGCCCTTCACTCCAGTAGCCCCATGTGTCTCTCATACTGGGGTGCAAACTGGACACAGTACTCGGGATGCGGCTTTACCAGGGCTAAGCAGAGGGGGAAGATTGCCTCCCTTGACCTACTGGCAATGCTCTTCCTAATGCAACCCAGGGTATTGCTGGCCTTCTTTGCCATGAGGGTGCGTTGCTGGCTCATGGTCAGCTTGCTGTCCATTAGGACTCCCAAGGTTGTTCTCTGCAGAGCTGCTTTCCAGCAGGTCAGCCCCCAGCCTGTACTGGTGCATGGATTGATTAACTGGAATAAATTGCATGTATTTTTCCTTATCTAGGGAAATTACCGCCTCATGAAACTTTTACTGGCTCGTAGAGGGAACTGGATGCAGAAGGACTTAGAGGATATGACACCGTTACATTTAGCTACACGTCACAAAAGCCCAAAATGTTTAGCTTTGCTGCTAAAACATATGGCACCTGGTGAAGTGGATACACAGGACAGAAATAAGGTAAAATATTACTTAGTTTAAGAAAACACTTTTAGCAACTTTGGAAATTGGTGTTGTATCTAACCATTATGTGTGAAAAATAAATTTGTTATTTCCGTGCATAACAAATGTTTTTTGACTCTTCAGAATAGTAGCTAAGACTGGTATTTCAATGTTCACCATTAAAAATATTAAGGTTTTCTGGCCAAAAATAATGTAACAATTCATTGTACTGACTTCACTGACATTCATCTTGAGAGTGCATAGACATAATGGAAGATTAAAAATCCATCAATTTTAAGGTGTAAGCCTTTCTGTGATGGTCTGATTCTTGTTCGAAGGTGGATAGCATCTTGCTTTTCTTCCTTGGAAAAATTCTGGATATGAAATGGATGTTCATCTGCCCTTGTTGTCCACGTGGAAATCCAAAAATACTAGTTTGAATTCCACTCTTTTGAACAATGATGTGGGTGATTTTACTCTTAAAAGATCAAGATTTGAATCCAGAAACTGCATAGCACCATTATTTTTTGCACTGGATCTTAACTTTGGAGTAGTAGAAGAAATTATGTAATCATGTAATGCAAAGAGTTATTGGAAAACTTTGTGCAAAAATCTTCAAGGTCTACGTAGTTATCAAAGATGAATGAAAAAGAATTCCTTTTTTGGGCTAAATTCAGTTTTGCCATTGTCAGACAGTGATCCTGTCACTGTGTGATTGATGTGGCCCTGCACTGGGGGCCACCAAAATGGTAGTGGTATTGACACAGCCATCCATAGGTGTTATGAAGTGGAGTATTCATTATGTACAACAGAATAGAGAAAAGAACACCTTCTCCCATGGTTGGTGGGTACCAGTGAAGGAACGTGCTAGAAGCCAGCTCGCTTTTGCACTGTTCCAGTCACTCATCTATTTTTCTTTCTATCTGTTGTAATGGTACTGAACGGCCTGCTTGCTGCTCTGCTCCATGGATCAGCTTACCACTGTCCAGGAAGAGCCTCCATTGTCAGTAGAATTCTTAGTCCAGTACTTGATCTGGGAGATCAAATCTAGGAGGCACATGCCCTTCACCATCCACAGTAATGTGCCCCTTGTGGCCAAGAAGGCCAATGGTATCCTGGCTCCCCAGTACAAGAGAGACATGGCACTACTGGAGAGAGTCCAGCGGAGGGCTACGAAGATGATTAGGGGACTGGAGCATCTCTCCTCTAAAGAAAGGCTGAGAGAGCTGGGCCTGTTCAGCCTGGAGAAGAGAAGACTGAGAGGTGATCTCATCAATGTGTACAAGAAGGGGGGGGGTGTTGAGAGGATGGGGCCAGACTCTTCTCCGTGGTGCCAAGTGACAGGACAAGAGGCAATGGGCAGAAACTGAAACACAGGCAATTCCATCTGAACCTGAGGAAAAACTTTTCCTGTGAGGGTGACTGAGCCCTGGAACAGGTTGCCCAGAGAGGTTGTAGAGTCTCCTTTGCTGGAGATATTCAGAATGCACCTGGACGCGATCCTGGGCAATGTATTCTAGAGGACCCTGCTCCAGCAGGGGGGTTGGAGTGGATGATCTCCAGAGGTCCCTTCCAACCTCAACCATTCTGTGATTCCTAATAAGATCTTCTCTTGGTCTCTAGATCAGTTTGTTACCTCAACTCTGATTATTATGAAAAAGTTTCAAGTTTTTTTTTCTTTTATGGATTACAGTCCCCTTAGAGATTTTCACTTTGAGAGAGAGAGATTACTCTTTGCTATCTAGTCAATAAGAGTCTAATGGGAATCACTTTCTGCAGATTGTGACGCCTAGGGAGAGTCTTGTGGCAGACTCCACATTGTGATACCAATGTAAATATGCATCTAGGAGAGTACTTTGATCTGTATGTTATTTCTGAGTCATTATCTGACTGTTCAGTACAATGGAAGTACCACTGGAGCAGGGATGGCCCAAAGATAAAAATGTCCATAGGCTAGACCTGTGTGATAGACTTTTTTTCTGCATCTCTTTAAATAAAAATGGATAATTTTTAGGGTCTTCTAATCAAACATGACTTTGTGACCTGTGATAGAATATGATGCAGTTTATCAAGAAGATTTTCTGATGGAACAGTAAAAAGTATCAAGTTCATTATTATTATTATTATTATTATACAAAAATGGACCAATTTCCAGCAGAAAGTTTGCTACCAGTGCACATGCACTGTTGCTCCAATGAATGCATCATTCAGTAGGAAGAACACAGTGGTGAAGTTGATTGACAAACTGGTATGAGACTCCCATTGGAAATAGTACACCAGTTAGACACTTTGCCATTTGTTTTGTGAAGTTGTGAACTTCTTCAGGAGAAAATGTACTCTAACATCTATAGACCTTTACAGTACCACCTTCTCAGAACAAAGTCCTTGACATTCATTTTCTGCTTCCGTGATAGTAAAGGCTGCTTGAAAGGCCTGGAAGTCTCCAAGTGACTTTCCAATAATATCATGTAATGCATCTATTGTTATGAATTGTCTGATGTCCCTTTGCAGTATCAAGTCGTGCTCCACTAGATCAATAACATTATCAGCCTGCTTGAGAAGCAGCCTGACTTGTAAGAGCCTTATGAAGTCTACTGATGCTTGCTAAAAAGGACGATTGTTAAAATGAGTGGCCAGTACAGGTGACTTATCTTAGAAGGAAGGTGTTATGGTTTCTGAACAACTGATGGATCATTACTCTTGATACAGACAAGATTGCCAGCCAACAATAATAGCATGCTAATGCTTTTAAAAGAAGGAATAGTTAAGTAGCATATAATAACTGAATTTTTTTTTTTGAGGTGGCTGTGGCTCTTAAGTTTAAGTGCTTATCAGTGTTTGGTTTCAAACCGCTGTGAAGCAGTTGCATCTGTGTAGTAGCATTAATGGTAGGGTATGAAGAAGCACAGGAAGGACATGCACGCAGTCCTGACAGGTACTCCTAGGTAAAGGAGTTTTGTGGTTTTGGATTTCTTTGCTCTTAAATGAAACAAATTCATCCTTTTTGTTGGCATGTTTGATATTCTGTTTGGGAGATGATCACGTTGCCTTTAATGGAGTTCTAGTAATTCTCATTGTGGACTTATTGAACTGGGATGTCTGCTTCAAATGTCATGTGCTTTAAGCAGTTTACATATGTCACCTTGGGTCTGAAAGAGATTCTTCTTTAACAAAAAGTCCGGATAGGAATGTTCTCTAATGCCAAATTTTTCCCCAAGGATATGGCAACAGAAAGTTAGATGTTGTTAAGGTAAATAGCAAAAAGAGAGGAAAAAAATCGTGGAACTACCATTGGCAAAGTAGACATGATGTTGGGCACAACTATATGTACATCAGTAATGGCTCTGGACATTTCTCAGCATTCAGCATGGAAGTCTCCTTCCCATAATATGTAAGTGATCCTGGAACTTGTGCAAAAAGCTCTCCTCATCAGGCACAAATCTGCCACCAACGCAAATGTGCCCTGATCGAATGTATGTCAACCAGCTGATAATAAACATAGCAGGTTGGCCTGATTGGTCTTAGTGGAAATCAACATTCCATCTATTGTTTAGTGGGTTTTCAACCTACCGGAAGAGGGTATAGTAAGAGAAGGGGAGTGAGCTTTCTAGCAGTATTACTTCTTAAACTCTGAAATTCTAATCTGATTCTATCATCTAGGAAGCAGGAAAAGACAGCTGCAAGCCCAGTTTCCATCAAATGACTCTTCTGTCCCCTCCAAACAACGGGGTTGAACCAGCCTCTGCCCTAGCAATCAGCTGCTTGCCTTCCAGAATATTCTAACGTGTATCGTGGAAACCCTGGCTATAATCACAACAGTCACTCTGGAAAGGTCATGCTAACTTCCTAACTACAATAATTAATTAACAAAGGTATGCAGAAACCAGCCAAAACCTTTTAGGAACCTTGTCTTTTGTTCAGCTGATTTCCAAAGCAATATTAAAGCATTACCAGATTTTCCACAAAATGTAGAGCACTTTTGTTCCAGTTCATGTCGTGAGTAGTCACAGTAGCAAAGATGGAATTCAGATTGGTGAAAGGGACTCTCAGTGATAGACTCCAAGATATTGGATCCTGTTGGGCACATAGCTTATTCATGGCTCTTATTGCAACTATGTGCATCAAGATTGTCAAATGCAGTTCCTGAACATAAGAGAGAAAACTGTATTTTATATCCATTTCTGTATAGGCAACCAGCTGAAAAGCTGACTGCAAGTGAGAGAAGTCATTTAACAAGGATCTGCAGCTATCAATTTCTAGAGATAGCGGTCAGCTCCACTTACGAAATAACATGTGTTAACTTATTACAAATTTCTGTTGCTACAAGTTCTTCGGTTCAAATCCTGGCAAGCTGTGATGGTTCAGGCATGTTTTACGATGCTATGCTCTATGTATTTTATGTGATATCAGTTATGATACCTTTCCTTGCAGCCCCTCCAGTTATATCTCGGAATGAACATGTTTTCAGTGAACTACTCAATAAGCAAAAAGATTGACGTATCATGTTATGTTACCATGGTACTAAACTAACAACTTAAAGCAGCAAACACAAATAAATGAGCTCCCTTTTTGACCTTCCTCAGAGAAATTAAGGATAGGCTAGTGATCTCATATATTCTGACTATCCAAGCATCCCAGTCCAGACTATTGTGTGACTATGCACAAATGTCCTGGAACGGTTATTTCTCAACCTTTTCAAATCAAAGTAGTACATAATATTTTGCTGGGGTGGGGGAGGAAATAAAATCCATTCTCTATCTTACGACCTACTACTGCTCAGCAGTTGAGAGAGATATCTTGTTAATCTACCAGTGTTTTACTGTTTAAAAAAAAAAAAAACTGGTTTACTTAATTACGAACATTGATAATGCCTATAAAAAGCCCCAGTGACAGTAGTCAGGAACTGACGTTAAGGGCCTGAACTGCCTTTTAATGTTTTTCTTGACTGCTGTCAGTCAGTAGACAGTAGATTGAATAATATTCAACCTATAGAATTTGGAGTGATGAAGGACAGTTTTGCTCAAGGTGTATCTGAATCCAGAGTCAATATTTAGCGCCCTCTTCCTCTAGTGGAAAATAATGTTTTTGTGTACTTCTCCATCAGTGTCTATCATTCTAAGAGATTTCCAAATTTAGGAGAGAGACCAGACTGACTTTGAGGTTTGCTTGAGCTCTGGCTTTGAGGTCTGCTTCAGACAGCCATTCTAACTTGGACATGATTGCTTTCTATCAAGTCAGATGTTTTCTCCAGCCCTGAAATTGCTGCATTTGATGGCCTTGCCCTGTTGGCTGGCGAAGTACCATGGACAGAGTATTCTCTTTCTTGAGTCCAAGAAATTGTCATGCAATTAAATTAAATATCTACCAAGTTAAATAACTACCAAAACAACTTTTGTGTGAAGTATAAGTGCTTCTCAGTGTGATCATCACATAAGATGTGGCTTAGACCTAATTCAGGCCTCAGTAACAAAGATATGTGAGTATCTAGTCTTGATCAGGTCAGTTTTGTTTAAAACCTGTTTAAAGCCTGTTTTCCAGTGATTTTGATTTGTCACCCACTCTAGGTACATGTGTTCCATTTTTTTGTCAGTTGTCTTTATCGAAGTTTTAACGAAAGATTGCTCACTTACTCATTGTTCAAGGGATTAATGCCCGTCGTCCTTACAGAATGTCCCTTACCACACAGCAGCAGTGAGAGACAAAGACTGTTGCATACCTGAAAAATACAGGACTGTTATCTCTACCCTGTGTTAGCTAGTTTTTCAGTGTGATGTAGATCATTTGATAACTGTCCATCCCTGGCTTCCAGATATCTTGGGATTCTACTCAGCATTGTAAGGGAACTGGGGCAGTATCATGGCTTGTCTGCATGTCTTGCACAGGAGCACAAGGAATCATAGGATTCATGCAGAATGAATGGTGGTGTTCTAAAAATAGTCTTATCTGCCTGAATGACTTCCATGACTGCACTGAGATCCATGATACCCTCCAAAACAGTAACTTTAGAACATATATTCTTGTGTTGTAAATATCTTTGTTGGAGTAATAACTATTGGTAATCAGTAAAACAAATGAGGAGGATATACAAACCAAACTGTGAAGATTATGATAATTTTCAGATCTACCTAGAGCCTAAAGCTACGCTTATTGAAGATATCAGTGGAATGAGAGTTCCATATAGGAACTCTCTATAGGTCATGCATATTATTCAGAGACTTATTTATGTTATTTGTATACTGTAATAGATTACAGTTCATGTTGTGATACCACTACAAATAATTATTTTCTGCACTTTGAAGTGTTATATAGATGGCTCAAGAAAGCTCAGTAAAATTCAGTTCAAAAATAAGTTCAGCGAAGGGAAGTGCTAAGTCCCGCCCTTGGGAAGGAATAACCCCATGCATCAGTACAGGATGGAAAGCAGCTTGGCCAAGGGGGACCTTGGGAGTCCTGGTGGACACTGAGTTGAGCATGAGCCGGCAGTGTGCCCTTGTAGCAAAGAAGGCCAACAGCATCCTGGGTTGTACTAGGAAGACGGTTGCCAGTAGGTCAAGGGAAGTTATTATTCCCCTCTGCTCAGCACTGGTGAGACCATATCTGGAGTGTCCAGACACAGTGGTGTGTTTGAACGCATCTGGAATGTCCAGACACAACTGATGTATCCAGGCCTGGGCTCCCCAGTACAAGAGAGACATGAACGCATTGGAGCGAATCCAGTGCAGGGCCAAAAAGACGATTAAGAGATTGGAGCATCTGTCCTACAAGGAGAGGCTGAGAGAACTGGAACTGTTTAGCCTTGAGAAGAGAAGACTTGGGAGGATACTGCCAATGTGTGTAAATACTTGATGGGAGAGTGTAAAGAAGATGGAGCCAGACTCTTCTCAGTAGTATCCAGTGAATGACAAGAGGCAATGGGCACAAATGGAAATACAGAAAATTCCGTTTTAAGAAAAAACTATTTTACAGTGAAGGTGGTCAAGCGCTGAATGGATTGTTCAGAGAGGTTGTGGAGGCTCCATCCTTGCTGATTCTCAGAACTCAACCTGCCCTAGCTGACCCTGCTTTCAGCAAGGGGATTAGACTAGATGGTCTCTGGAGGTCTGTTCCAGTGTCAACTGTTCTATGTGATTCTGTGAAAATATAATCTAAATCTCATGAATGTATTTTAGGTTCTAATGAACTTCACATCTTCTGTTCCTTTTTTGACGTTTTTGTAAAACTTGTGAATGTTGTATCCCAGCAAACTGCATTGCACTGGAGTGCCTACTACAATAACCCAGAGCACGTGAAACTTCTCATAAAGCATGATTCAAATATTGGAATCCCTGATATTGAAGGAAAAATCCCACTTCACTGGGCAGCTAACAACAAGGACCCTAGTGCAGTTCACACAGTGAAATGTATTCTGGTAAGAAAGTCTATTTTGTATGTATTTCTTTACTGTGATACAAATATTTTTTACCTTCCTGAAGTACTAGTGAATATCTTTGCTATAAATCATGGGTTATGAATACTGTTCATATTAGTTTGGTGTGTTAACTCTGCATTTTTAGGGGAAGGAGGGAGGAAGAGGTTGCAAGTTCTCATAATTAAAATAGCCAGTCAAATAGCCAGTCAGTTGCCTCCTGCGCAGTGAGTTTTGCTGTGTGCCTTTTTCTTCCTTGTTTGCAAGTTTGCTTCCAGTTAACTATATTGAACAGTCTAATTTCTGACTGTTGAGTCAGAATTGTAGGATATATCTGATCGATTATTGGCGAGCCTTTGGTCAGTTTAGTGAGAGACTCTCCAAAAGTCTTTCTGTACAGATTAAATAGTCCTTCCTTCATGGCATGTTATTTTTTGCAGCATTTCAATTTCATTTTCTTCACTGACAACTATACTGACTACAGTATAGATTTTTACCTTGATTTTTACCTTGATTTTTACCTTGATTTTTACCTTGATTTTTACCTTGATTTTTACCTTGATTTTTACCTTGATTTTTACCTTGATTTTTACCTTGATTTTTACCTTGATTTTTTTTATTCTGTGGAAATCACTGAACTTCAGGAATTTTGAAAAATACAACATATTGCAACAATCTCTGTCTTTTAAAGTTGTTTCAGAAGTAAGCATATTGATTGTAAGCTAACTAGTCTATGTCTGTTTGTCTGATTAGCTTGCAAGTTGAGAACTTAACCTATGGGCTATGAAAATTCAATCCCCCCCCCATCACAGTAATAATGTTACTATTGTCTTTTTCACTATAAAATAGTTTTTGAGGAGTTTCCAATGTTATATTAATGCAATTTCATTTCCATATTGCTTCTGTTTATTCAAGATATTTGTAATTAGGACTCAGTCGTGAAAAGATTTGTTACAAATAGTTTAAATTAGTTCTAGTTTATATATGCCATGTATTTTTTTGCTAGACCAGAGAAAGAAACTTGCTGAGAAATGGGAAAGGACTGCTGTTTTCATATTTTCAAGCTTAGACTTTTTCAGAACTATTCAAGATAGATATTTTTCAACTTTTAAAAAACATTCATCTGTTACTGAAAGTGATCTCAAAGATTCTGTTTCAGTAATACAGAAGCCTGATCATATCAAGGTTTTTTGTTCATTATTTACTCTGACAGTTAAAAGAACATGCTCTTGATTTCATCTAGGCTTTTTCATGCATCAGCAAAATTGCTAATATGCCAGATAGTTATACCTTTGTATGCTTATTCGTAGGAGTAAGATAGTGCTGCTTTAAATGGAGAAATAATTTAGCTTACAGAATATGCTGTAGAAGTTGATGATACAGAAGCATTTGACTAGGTAATCAGGCTGATTGAATCTGTTGAGTGTAACTACCATCTTTTTTGTTGATGCCTCTGAGCTTCACTCTTTAGTACAATCTTATCTTGTGTCCAGACTGAAGTGCTTTTCATACCTTTCTTTTTAGATATCTACCTAGCGGGTTTACGTCAACACAGCTAAAGCAGACCTTGCAATCTTCCCGTCATTTCTTTGTTACTGTTTACCATGTTACCCAGTTTCCAGATCTGTTGTCCAAGCATCATCTTTGATTCTCATCCCTCTAGATTTTCACATCCAGGTTAACTCCATAGCCTTTCAGATTCTTTCTGCATGATGTTTCTAACCTATCACAGAATCGTTTAGGTTGGAAGGGACCTCTGGAGATCATCTAGTCCAACCTCCCTGCTCAAGCAGGGTCACCTAGAGCATATTGCCCAGGATCACATCCAGACGGGTTTTGAAAATCTCCAGGGAAGGAGACTCCACTACCTCTCTGGGCAGAGGTATGTACCCATACAGTTAAAATTTCTGCCATCTTGTGTCATGACTTACCTGCGTTCACCAATATGTTATCTTGTGATGATAGCAGTGCAAAAGGCCTACCACTCTGACTGTGCCACTGTTGCCTCTCATTTTTTATTACATCCAACACAAACCATTTATCTTCATTTTCACTATAGAGTGGTATAAGCTGTAAACTGCATGACACATTGCTTGGACAACAGTTAGATATTGACATCTACCTCTGGTCAATCTGCATTGGCAACCTTTGTTGCCCATTTACTAAATTATGAAGAACAACACTGATGTTATTTCTCTCATATTATCTTTAACATTTTGGAAGAAATCCACAAAAAATTGTTATTCTCTAGGGTGTTTCTCAGACTTCTCCGTTGCTGCTTTACAAAAACTTGACAACAGTTAAGCTGCTGATTTTATTGAGACCACAGCCTACGATACTGAAAAATATTGTCTTGTCTTTCTGTGCTCCCTTTTCTGAATGTATCCATCTATTGCTTCTTCTTTTTAATTCATAAAAGTGAGCATGGATCCCTTTTCTGTTTTGTGTTTGTACACTTATTTTGGAAGTAGTTCGACCCTGGCTTTCCTAGGAGCAGAGTCTCACGTACGTCTAACAGTGAATATAGTTATTTATTTAAACGATGGGGCAGCAAAGTAACAGCTCAAGCTGGGTGCCTCTGGGGAGGGATCCTGAACAAAGAAATTTTGGAGTAATTATTCTCCTTACCATCAGATTTCCCCGCCTGCTAGTGACAGTCTTCTTTACTGAGTCGGTGGTCTCTTTCTTTTGATTGGTTCACGTCTACATCCCGGGACGGTTGCTGTGTTCCTGCTTCATAGTGCCTTATCTTATCCGAAGGTAAACCGTTACCTCTGTCCGTTGTGCGCTGTGCCTTTGAGGGCTGGTTCTAGCTGGTTTTGCAGTCGCATCCTCAGCAATGTCTCTCGAGCTCATTTACGATTCATTCTGCGGCCTGCAGGCTTCGTCTACTTTAGGCACTGGTGTTAAGGTGGGCTAGAGCTAAATTAGCTCCCTTTTCTAACACAATAGTTAGCCCAGTGGAATCTTGACCAATAACTAGAGCTTCTGGGCAGTGTGAAAATAAATAGTAAAGAAAAGAGAACCAAATGCTGAAAAAGTAGGTTGAATTTGCAGGGGTGGCACAACTGATTGCATCTGATATTGAAATCCATGAAACATAATGAGAACGGAGCACACAAGGCTTACGGAGTAGAAAGTAAGTAGTGACTTTTCCAAAGTGATAAAAAAAACTTTTAATAGTAAAGTAACACTGCAGGTTATGGGGATGTGTTCTGTGGAACATCAGTGGCTTTCAGACACAGGTTTTTGAGTCATTTATTTCATATCTTTTGTTAAATGGTTTGTGTTTTGGAAGGATCAAAAATTAGCTTTCCTGATCACATCAATAAATTATAGATAAAGAGAAAAAGCTGATTTTTTTTTTTTTAAATCTATTTATTCCGTTCAAATACATTTTCCTCTGGTGCAGTTAGAATTTCAGTAATAACTTCTATTCATATTGTCATTCATACTTAGTCATTCTTTAAAAATGATTCTCATAAAGATCCCTTCTGAATTTTTTGCAGTGGGCTCTATGCTCCCTCTGTTGAGCAGTTTAAATAGACTGAAAGTAAGCATAATGTCGGTTG